CAGATTATAATTGTAAAGCCTTGTGTCCATGTACTAGAAAAAATCACGTTTATAGTCTCGAACGGAGAGAGAATTGACCAATTTACATTGATGCGATTGGCCAGTTTTCTTTTTCTCTGTTCGAGATCCAGTTTCTAACGTGGTCACAAAGCTTAACGAGTTGCCGAATAAATCATTTTTATGAAAAGTATAAAATCATACAAGTAAAGATGAATTAAAATATTACTTGGATGATAAGCAATATTGTAAATATTGTTTACAAATAAAGCCAATATATGTCTTATAATGAAACAATTATTTACACTGCTTTTACTTGTTACTTTTAGAGTCAAAATGGGAAGGAGAATATACTTGTTATCCTTCATTAAGACCTGCCAGCCTCATTTCAATGATATATCCACCACCCATGCACGAAAATTAAAGAATTTTTAAACAAGATAATTTAAACTTTACGAAACATCAACAATATTTCCGGATAATTAAGAAACTTAATGCAAAAAATTTGAAATAAGAAACAGATAAACGTTTGATAAGTCTGTTGATTAGTTCGAACAACGTAGTGGTGGATTACATAAAATTGAAACATTTAACGACAATAATAAAATTATCGTAATACTGTACTGTACATAGGTGAGTTTGAGATCTTAAAGATCTTTAAATAATCTAAACTTATTTTTTAGTGATTTTCCACCAGGATGTGACATTATAATAAAAGCATGGCTATTATTTTATAGGAGAGATGATCACCCTGGAGATAGTGAAGTTGGTTAGAGTTCCTGGGTCTAGGAGGAGATCTATTGAGAGGGAATGAGGAACCCAGCCTTGCATTTGGTCGGGATAGCGACGTCCCCTGGAGGAGGTGAAGTCTTTGGCTCGAGGGCCGAGGAGGAGTTGCGCCAGTGGCTTGAGACACGCCTGGACGCATTGGGGATTGACCCTGTTGCGTACTCGCGATTTGTACTCAGCCTATTGCGCCGCCCCGACTCGGCCCTAAGTCCTCCAGAAGAGGCAATTGGGTTAGATAGAGGCACAGGACGTCGCATACGTGCCCGACCTAAAGCAAAGCTGCCAGCGCATGGTGACGGGGAACAACGACGAGCTGTTGTGCAATGTCTGACAAGTGCTGCTGATGACGTGAGTTTAAAAAAAATAAATCAACAATAGTGAAGTAACGCCAGTGCGAGCCAACACGGATGTTGGTGCATAATAATTTTTATTACAATATCCAGCCACATGCAAACTACGCATTTTTGTCAGTCTTGAAGTACAGTGCTTTACATGAGGTCGGAATCCACTTGTGGATATTGTAATAAAAATTATTACACACCAACATTCGTGTTGGCTCGCATTGGCGTTACTTTACTATTATTGATTTATTATTCTTGATAAGCCTTAATTCTTTTAAATTTATTTAAAAAATAAAATCTAAGGAATATATAAAATTCTCTATTTTTTTTCCTAAAAATGACATAATAATTGTAAATATATTAAAAGGGTATTTTCTGTATACAGAAATACGGAGTAGATGCTCTAGTTGATGAACTGTGCGTAAAACTGAAAGAATTAGAAGGGGGCTCCTATAATGAAAGAGAAGAATCCAAGAAATCTTGTGACGAGCCCAAAACAAATTTAGAAGCACTCACACCTCATGACAGGGCTCTCAGATACTACGCAGCATTTCCAGCCTTGCAATCTGTATCTATGAAAAAGACTCCTGCACAGAAAGATAAAAATTTTGCCAACAGCAACAATAATAAAACCTACGGAATTAATTTGCACAATAAAAATAACAGCGCTCGCAATAAGAAGACTAAAATGTCTATCGTATGTATTAGAATACTTTTCCTACTTTTTTCAAATTTTATGTAGTTACCGACATGGTAAAATCGTATTTTTTTCCTCTTTCTTTACTTTAGAACATCGAATCACAAAGATCGGAAGATAAAGAAAGCTTTGGATTTGCTAAATCAATGGAACGAGAAAGGGAAAAGGAACTCGATCAGTTAAGATTAGCGCAATTAAAGGCGAAGTTTGAGAGTTTGGAAGCACTTTGGAATTCAGTACCAGGCAATGCACAGGACACAGCTTCGATATGGGCAGCTCCGACACTTTCCATTCCTTCTGGACCTCTTTGGCCCACAGACACTACCAGGACAATCTTCCCCACTTCAGATAATGGCTGCGCTACTGACACACCTAACCAAGAATCAATTGTTGACGAATCACCGCTTATTCCATGGGATATTGATCTAATCAGCATTGAAGATAATGCGGATGAATGTAGCAATAAAGATAAAACAGGTCAGATATTAATGTGTGATAGATTATAATTTAAAATTTATATCAAAGTAACACACACACTTGGGCCCATTTTTACAATGTATGGTTAACGAAAAAGTTAGGTTAACTAAAACTTGAAATTTTACTAAAACACATTTTCATAAGCTTGTAGTCAAATAAACTATAAGTTACGTATACATCAGTTGAGTTGGCATCAAGTTAACTTGATAGTTAAGTCCTAACCAAATGTTATTAAATAATAAACTTCTTGGTAATTTTTAACCTTTAGGTAACCATACATTGTGAAAATAGGCCTTATAGATATTGAAAAATCTGTGTAGATTTTAAATTTTCTTATTAGCAAGAGATTTTTATTATATTAGTTTTGAATATTATTGCAGACTACAGTATAAATTGGATGGATTCGTTTACGGATGGACCCTGGTGCTGGAGAGGAATTGACAGTAACTTATCTACAAGCTTGTATTGTCGCAACGCTGAGACAGGTCACTGTTTCTTTTCGGTAGCATCAACTAAAACTCCGCATGGAGTTTGCAAGGAATCTCGTTCGAGTCTGAAGGTAAACAATCCTGCAGAACCAGACGAGGATCTATTGACTTCCGCACGTACTCACTTTCGTCCGATAAAGGACGACGGTCACTGGGCAGATGGCACGACGTTTCCTGTGAACAATACAGTAGAACGCGTTGCTTATCGCAGATCTGAGTCAGGAAACTTACTATATCTTCCTGGCGGAGAAAGCCCTTACATGGAGTACCGGGAGAATGACGGGGTGCCACTGCCCGCGTCTACGAATTTAACGCTGAAGTTTCGGGTACGTCAGTGCGACAAGAGTGTCCAAACTGAGCCCGTACGATCTCCAGTCAAGCGCCGTATTCTCTCCGAACAAGATCATTTTCGCTATTCGCCGGTCGGAGACGCTGAAGAGGCTGTTTTGCAAGAGCAAGAAAATATCGAAAAAGATTCTTTTGCTTTGGATCAACTTGGCTGGGTACAAACGAGTGTACCTCTGCACAATGATAGAAAAAGGTAATAGAGCATCGTTAAGACACGCCACATTGCAAGCGCGGTCAGTTGCGTAGAACGTATAGCGTCGCGTCGTAATTGCGAACACTAATAAGAGAAAAGCGACTTTAGGCATCAATTTTATTTCTCATTACATAAATGGGTATATGAGAAATCAGTATTGTTAAAATAAGAGGTTTGCAAAATCAAGTATTATCCATAAATGGATAATAAAAAGTCAGTATTTATAGACTTGCATCTGTTACTAAAAATAAATATTGATGTATGTGTGATCTGTTTTCTAAGTGGATTTAAAAATTTTACTAGAGGCAATTTAAAATACAATATACTCTCAGTTTTGTCTGGGAAAATATTCAAATGACTTAACTCCTGAAAACAAATTTGGATTAAATTTTTTAAAGAAAGGATTCGTAATAATAAAAACGCTAATAAAAACGAGAGAGATGTTACAGCAATGATTTTGCTGCAGTAATATCTATCCTGGATTTACTTGTAATTTCGAAATATACTGATAATACGTTCGGATAAAAATTTGAGGGGTACAATTTAGTTTTGTCACATTGCTATTGTACCTAAATATATATATACATGATATCTTTTTTTCGCTAGAAGGCACAGTAGCAGCTTCGGATGCCAGCCACTGACGACTTTGCGTCCGTTGACCTTGTGAACCGGATAATGTAAGCTGCTAAATAATACTATATGACTGGAGATTTGAGGTTTAGCTATACTTTTTTTCGCAAGATAAAAAACGATTGATAGGATTGTGAATGGGGGTCCTCTTGGCATGTGGAATTTGTTATGCATGTATCCAAGAAGGCACGAGTAAACCCCATCGTCACTCGTAATAAGCAACATGCAATCGAAACAAAGCGAAACACGCGAGAATATTAACTATTCATTTAGGTAATTAATAATAACCTTTGATGAGAGAGTAAAAGAGGAAAGAAGCAAAATAAGAAAAAAAAAGTGTATATGTTACACACAGCGTTTCACGTTGCAAGAACGTTGAAGTTGTAGTCCACGCTATTTCAGTTGTAGGTTGTTGATTACTTTGTGATTTTTTAAGAGAGAGCTTAGTACGCTGATTTCGTAGAAAATTGTAGCAAGCAATTTTGTTTCTCACCCGACGTGCAGGCTATAAAGAGAGTCTACTTATTCGATTTATGTCGAAAAGAAAAGAAAAAGAAACAAAAAGTTATTAATCAGACACAAATTCGAGAGGACAGTTGAGTACTTATTTTGAACGCTGCACGATTGCAAATCGGGTATTTAATTAAAGTGCTGTTCTATTTTCTTGTTGTTTTTCATAATTATTAATGGATTATCTTATAATCGTATTCCCCTATAATTATGATTTAACTCCCTAGAAGATTTAATCCCCCCTTCAATCCTTCTTCCTTCTCCCACATTCCAAATCTCCTTGTATCCATTGCTTTCCCTGTGCTCACCCTAAGGAAATCGAATAACTGAGAACATACGTGTAAAAAAAAACGTGTAATTTGAAAACACTACGCTTACCTTACGAAAGGTAATGCGAAAAAAATACAAAAAATGTTACTTTAGCATGCAGATGCCTTTGAAACGAATGTTGAATAATGTTAATGCGTCGAAGGAATGTGTCACTTATAAACAACTCTGTCTTTAGGAAATAACGCGAAAGGAAATATGCAATGTAAAAAGAAAAAAAAAGATAAGAAAAGGGCGCTCGTCGTCTTTCCGCGAAATAATGTACGGAAAGGGTAAATAAAGGCATTGCAAACACGAAAATAGTACATAAATTTTAAATTTTCCATTTCGCGCATTTATTTATCTCTCTCTATCCAAGAATTCCGCAATTACACTTTCCTTTAAGTTAATCTAGAACCACACACATTTATCGCAGAGTATATATGTATGCTAAAAACATGCAAATGGGTCCTATGAAAATGTTACTGTATTTTATGACCGTTTCACTGTGCGTCACGCCGATATGAAAATTCATGAATATCTTCATGAATTTTGTCTAATATCTCGTTAATATACAAAATTGACACGGTCCTCTAAAAACACTTTAATCCTTTTGTGCGACAGCTTTATACTTATTCTCTATATTCCATAAATACATTCTCCCTGACAAGAAAATGTTTTCAAACGTAAATCTCGTAATAATGCCAAATCTACATATACATATATTATTTGAATAACAAGAGAATAAAATTTATTATTTGTAAGTCCTTTGCGATATAAGCAAAAAGAAATATCAAATATATCTGAATTTTTACAGATTATTAGTCATGTTTTGTGCATTCTTGTTTTTTAGCAAAAATTTTTTGTTGTATTAATACTTCGAAATTTGTAACTTAACTGATGAAACTGGTGAAATGGAGACACCCACTAAATATGTGGGTAAGTCCTACAACAATAATGATACTTCATGTGATATAAAATGGCTAACGCTAAATTCACGATAACGAAGATATTAAAATGTATAAAAATTCACAAAAGCATTAAAAACTTTAGATAATAAAAAAAATTTTTTTCTGTTTCTCCATTTGCTATGTTAAATTAGATTTTATTAAATACTTTTTTCCCATTATTTGCTATGTTATTGTAGATTAGATTTTGTTAAATACTTGCATTTTAATTTTTTATTTTTTATAATTTTTCTTATTTAATTTATTATAAGTATTTTATCAGAGATTTTTATTATATTTCAATATACCCTATCATTTGGAAAATCTATAATAGGTATATATGTGATATAATAAACTATATATTTTCAGTACATATTAAAACGCAATCTTTAAATGCATATCTGCTATATTGGTTCCATTATTTTCATCGGTGTGAGTTTTAAATTTTGAAGTATTATACAAAAAAAATACAATACCAGAAAAACTGCGTTTTGCTAAAAAGTAAGAATTGACAAAATAACATGGCCAATAGTCAGTAAAAATTCAGATATATTTGATATTTCTCTTTGCATTGCAAAGACAGAGTTTTTACTTTCTGGTTATCCAAATAAGATCTGTATAAGTTTGACATTATTATGATATTTACACTTGGAAACGTTCCCTTGAAAGTGTTTGAACTTAAAATCTCGATCTAAGTTGCGAGATTGTTTGAAACCCATGTGTAGGGGCAGGATGCAAATTAAACCGAATCGGTTTAATTGCCTTTGCTATTTTCGCTTTTGGAGGCGTAGTTTGATGTAATTCGTTAACTTTCGCACGGTGCCGATAATACCAGTATTCAAAGGCTAACGTGAAGCAAGCGAAAATGATGCCCACGAAAATTACGAGAAACACACCGCCAATATTGTGAATACTAATACCGTCGCTCTGATCATTTTCTAGGTCACAATTCTTTTTGACGGAATTATGCTTCCACCATTTGTCCTTCAATTTCTCCAATCTTCTCTTGTTCAATAGTATGAGAATCCTGCAAAAAAAAATCGATTTAAGAACGTTTATTTTTTGATAAAAAGAGATAAATATCGTACGTACGCATTGTTAAATTGATCCTTCAACGGTGATCCTTGTTGGACGGCGATAGCATACGGTTTCCTTGAAAATTCCTCTCCGACTTGGGTAAAATCGCAGTTCGTCATGACGAGATACTTGATGGTCGAAGCGTCTCCGATGAAAGCGAATTCATTATTCGCGTACGGACCCTCCCGTCGAATTCGCCTTAGTGCTTCGTCGATATCAGCCGGAAATCCAGCCTCTTTCATGGCTTGAAACATTTTTGTATATTTGTCGCTAACAGGATAATCCCAGACGGCTAGTTGCGCCCTTTCTATGTCTGACATGCTATCGTTCAGGCTCATATCTTTCCAAATGCTGTGGTAATTTAAAATACGTTTAGAAGAATCACGCATAACGATCTAATTTGAGGCGAATGTAATCACTTACTCGTAAAAGCGCTTCTCGATTTCCGCCATCCTGTGGAAGTAAGTGTACGCCGGCGAGTTTGTGATAGGCGCGTACTGTATTTTGTACTGTTTGCTCAGATCCTCCAAGGTCTCGATAGGTATCTCAAGCCTGGACACTGTGAGGAAAGCCGCCAAGTTAGCCGTGTAAGACGCGATGATAATGAAGCCGAAGAGCCACCATGTAGCTGCCACCAATCTACCCGATAAATTTTTCGGCGCCTCGCCACCACCCTGAGGCGTTAAGGAGGTCATGCAGAACCAAAAGCACTCCCTGAGATTGAACTCTCTCTTCTCCTCGTCGTCCTTATACTTGTCACGATTATTCTGGTAGCTGTATGGCGACCAACGGTCGAACAGCCACATGAGGAAGCTGGTGAAAAAATACGCCGCCAATATGCAGAGCCAGACCTCGTTCTCGAGCACCGTGAGGAACTTGAAGAGCGACGTCGATGTCTTCGTTTTCTGCATCATGATCGTCAGACCGACAAGGTCGTAATAGGGTACCGTGAAGTCCACGACCTTCTCCCGCTCGGCCATAACCCAGAGCGAGCTCAGGGCAATGTCGGCGCGTTTGTCTATCAGCTCCCTCATCATTCCGTTCCAGCTGCCGTTGTCGCTCAACGAGCCGTACTCGTGATCCTCCACCTCGCGTACCTCGTACTCGAACGGCACGGTCTCGCGAATCGCGTCTAGCAGATCGATGCAGAAGCCGTACCACCGACCAGTTTGATTGTTGTACATCATGAAGGGCGGATGTTGCACGGCGACCACCCTGTAGCTCGTCACTGCGGTGTTATTCATGATCTTCTCGTTGGTGACCTTTGCAGAACGAAAATTCTCTCGATAGGCGAAGAATCAGGCAGAAAGTAACGTAAAATCAAGACACAGGATGACGATTGTCGTATCGAGCTACTTCTAGACTGTGCAGAAGGTAAATGCGAAGCACATGAAACGCGTGAAAACTAAAGACGCAAAAAGGGTGTGCTTTCGTGACGCTTTCGCGATAAAATGCGCAAGTAAATAAAAGTATATGTGACCATTACGCTCTCTTCCCACCTTGAACTTTTTTCCGGATAGATAAGCGAAGCTATAGAGTCATTATAGAGAACGACAGTGCGGCAGATAGAGCAGCTAGATATTAACAAAAAAAAGAGCTTGTGTTAACGGAATTTCTTGTTTCGATAGTCACGTCCCTTTTAATTATTATCTCGTATTATCATATTTATGCACATTTGTTAATACTCGTTGCGGAAAGTCGATTTAATGCAAAATCGGCTTAGAAGTAAACTCGAATTTCAGCGACATTTATTTAGTATTCGTTATACGAACACGACCCAATTTAATATGTTTCGTATAAATAAACGAATATATTCTAAAAGAGCTCAAATAAATTCCGACAGCAATTTTGATGCAATCCCAATTCAATATGATACTTTGATCAATTTGTTTTTACGAATTATTTCCGAATTTACCCATACACGTAAGAGAGTAGTATAATATATAGACGAGAAAAAAAATATATGAGTCATCGATCGCATAAATGTCGCTCGGTCAGGCACGACGGTCAGCGTGATCAATAATCCTTGGATATACGGCACTCGAGAATTGGAAAAAAAATCGAAGGAGCCGTAATATTGAAAACATTATCGGAAAGAAAATTGCTTGTGGTATATACGCCACGGAATCCCTTTATCTTTGCGGCAATCGATTTCATTTAATGGATTACGAATAATTAGAAAGTCAATATTAATGCGTCCTTCAACATTTTCACGTGACACATTACGTCCTCATTTCAAAGCCTCTTGGACTTACCCGCAAGGGCACCTCAATGCCCGCCTGCCACTCTCCGCTCTCCTCTCTTGACGTAATCTTTTCCCGTTCGATGTTCACCATATATACAATCATCTTAAAGTCCGCGTGATGTTCTCCGTTTTTCTTGCCCCAGCTGATGCCGGCGTACGTCGACGTCATGTTCTTCGAGGTCGCCATCAGCTTAGCTAGGAAATCCAGGCCTCTCGTCGGCGTGTTCGTCTCATCGTAGCTGTTGCAGTTGATGTGATGGGGTTCCAGAGGCCAGTCGCCGTTGTCCAAAGCCGACTTCATCGCGTTGACACCCAACAGAGTCAGATCGTAATAAAAAGCGGATACGATGAGCGGTTTCGGGAGTGTCGCCCTTACAATAGATTCCGCTTGATTTTCATCGATCATCCTCGGCGGTTCCGGTCTCAGAAACAGTATGGTGATGTTCTCGCACGCGCAGTCCGGCCATAATTCTTCGTCGAGAGTCAAAACGAACCAGCCATATTTCCGTCCGGTGAAGCTCAACGATTCCCCAACGTTCAACAGCATGTTAATGGAATCCCCATTGCCGAGGAGGAAATAATTTACCACGTCCAAATCCCGCAACTTTGACAATTGATCTTTTACGTTATCGATCGCGTCTTGCAAACCGTTAATGACATGTCTGGTCGGCACGTTCAGCAGCAGACTTTTATACTTGTGGTTCATGACAAAGTTTTTGTCATATAGAATCCCGGCATTGGTGATGTTCATCAGAATCGCCAACTGACGGATCGCCTCGGGCACGAGGTCACTCGGTGGCATTATCTGAAACGAAACGCCGAACCACGGGGAACTATCTCAAAAATATCTGAAGAATTTCTTTATAAGCACTAGAGGAAACTATATAGATTTTATTGGGTAATTTTGAATTGGAATTTACAAATGCTTACATGCATGTATTTTTGGCCTATGTAAGCAAGATATATAAAGTACATCGAGAATGCAGATTCCCAATAATACTGGAAGATAGTGATTTATTTATTTTGAATATTAAAAGCACTGTTTTCAATATAATAATACTTTTAATACTCAAAATAAATAATTTCCAGTATTAAATTGGATTTCTATAAGAAGTGGACATACACTATTCAACAAAATTAATTGTATGATTTTTTCACCGACTTATTTAACATTGAAGCAAAAGCCATCTTTTTTACTTCAATGTTGAATAATTCGGTGAAAAAAAAAATCGCAAACACTCAACAAAAAAGCAAAGAGGAAAAGATTCACTCTTAAAAACTGCATTTGTGTGCAATTTTTAATTCACGCTATCGAACTTTGCAAAGTTCGGAAAAATTTTTCGATTTGTCGCATCTCCATTTATATTTGTAGCTCCGAAAAAAATTAGTCGTTTTCTAAAATATCAAAAAAGTGGAGATTTTAAGCTGTAAAATGTATTTTTTGAAAAATCTCATTATGATCATTTTTAACGAAGTTACTCTATCTTGAATTTTGTCTGCTTTTGTAGGATAACAGGTGAGCCATTAATTTTGTTGAGTAGTGTATTTCACATTATATCACACATACGTATATGTGTATCCGTGAACACGCTATGTCCTTCGCCAGGACTTCTACCAGGACTTTTTACACGCATAATTGGACACGGTACCTGGATCAAATAGTTTTTTTGATCAAGATTCAGATCTCTCCAGTAGCGAATATCACCCTCCTGACCGAATTGGGCGGACAAAGTCGGGACTCCCATGGCCGCGGTGAATGAACTCGAGGCTTCGGCGCCCAGGTTGGCCATCGTCAGGTCCAGGATCAGATCCGGAACGGTCGCGCCGCCTTTGCTGATAGCTAAACTCCAGGCGTTGCATATTGCCTCGAGACTCTCGCTGGAATCGCTCTCGTTGATCTGTACGGACCATACATTGCCCAGGTGACCCGGATACTTCTCCCCCAGAGCCTTCAAAGCGCCGGTCACGCTCGCGTTCCCCACTTCGTTCTTCGCACCATTAATTATAACTAATTGGGGAAAAAGCATCGCGCCGACGTGGCATGCAAGAAAAAAGAGAAGGCAAAACCGAGTCAGGACGATTAATCTTAAGACGTAACACCTTAAGGTGTTCTACTGCCTTAAATAGCTCGTTTAATGAGAAACTACAACCGTGCGCTGTGAGACAAAAGCAGTTATCGCGCATCGGATCGCTTGAAAAGCGTAATGGACTGGCCTAAAAAGCTGTTCTCGCCTTCGCAAATGGAATCTTTTCTTTCGTATATGTGCATAGAGTGCGTGGATTTCTCTTTCAACGACAGAGATGCTGCCGGTAACAATACGTCATTGTGTATCGATCGCATAAATACGGTTGCGCGCCACGCGCAAGATTTTCCAATTAAACTTTCACAAATGAAACTTACAAAGATTCACCGGTCGCGATTGAGTCGGTTTCTCTTTTGACGTGTCCTCTACTCCGTAGGCCGTAAAAGTCGCCGACAGAACGTACAGCATACAAATCTTCGCGACACGACGACGGCCGGATACCATGATCGCGAGCGAGTGGGCGTTCTCCGAATAACTGAGAGCTTCGGAGAACGAACAGGGCTCGAAGCTCGAAGGAAATGGCAAAGGTAATCAACTCGGTTTGAACACGGGGAGAGATACTTTCCGCGATATAAATCAAAGCTTCGAGCGTTGCGCAATATCACTTATCGGCGTTCTTTCGCTCGTCCTCGCGGGGAGTATTGAAAGTGCATTCGATTCCAGTTTGCCGGCGCAAAAGTTTGTCGCTTTAAGGAAACTCGGCGGTATTCCCCCCTACGCGATTAACTGCAACTGCGTCTATATTGAGCTTTAATATCGTTAATACGGTCTCGAAGCGAGCGTCGTGTGTGAAACTAGGACGCTCCGAGCTCCGAGCTGGAGGTACGGCCTTCGCGGTCCAGTTACGACTCGAGGGTGGGAACCTCGACGGTGGCCGCCGCCGTTGTGGCATCGCCGGGAAACTTCCTCCCGGGGGCGACTCTTTTCGGACTCGCCATACACGTCTGGAAATTCAAAGCGGATATTGCGCGTAGAAAGCGGTCAGCTGTCTACTGACAGGCCGGTTCGCAGGCGGCTTCGCTCCAGGGTGTCCTCCTCCGGTTCATTTGTGTTTGCCCATCGGTTGCCGCGGGGATGACCCTAATCAATCGTAGTCAGCACGTGTGTGAGGCATGCCTGTCATCTCCCACTTTTAACGAAAAATTTGACGGATGTACCGGGTACTCACGTGTACCGCGATACTTTCGCAGATACGCCAACGACGTAGTAATTCTGCGCGAAATCGTCAATGTGTTATCTTCTCGATCCTTATCACCAACTGGTCTCATCATCAGCCGATAAACGGATTGTACATTAATTATTTCGCTCGAGAATGCTCATTTACGCGAAGCGGGAGCATACTGCGGGATCGACACGTGGAATCAGACCGGAAAATTGAATTCGTTCGAGTCAAAGCGATCGAGAACGATTTGCACATGTCGAATAAGTGTGTGATTGTGTGATTGTGTGCGGAAAAAGAGAATACTCGAGGATTTGCATGTACGCAGTGGCTACCATGGGGATTTGATGCTATCGATCACTTCCATTTCATTTATTTGGTATTTTTCTGAAATCGATTTAACATACGCGAAGGGACTCTATTCAGCCGGATGACTGCATTCTAGTTAAGGATAGAGGAACGTTTGCACATATAGTCCCTTTCCTTACAGAAATTTAATATTAGGAGATTAATTTTGAGTATTAAAAGCACCGTTTAATATTTTTAATACTTAAATTAAATAATTTTCAGTATTAAGTTAGTCAGTATTAAATTGGATTTCTTTAAGGACTGATAATACATATTTTCTTACATCACAATAATTTCGTAGATTATTAATTAGCGATTTTCGTAAGTCTCGTAAAAATTAACGACAAAAACAAAAAGACGAAAAAACTCGATTAAACCACATAATGCGCGGGCTCGATAAATCCATGATTGCTATTTCATCGCGTACTTAATTCACAATTTTATATGTATTATATGTTTTATACATCTGCGTAGAGATTCCGAAATGAGAAAGGGATCGTCAAGAAGACATGGGATAACAGTTTTTATTTATTCAGGACGGAATCGAATGTTGGCATCGTACTCCATTTCCGTTAATATAACTGCCATCGGAATGAATTTCGCTCGGTGACGGTGATTTATAATCCGTTAGAGTGCATTCCTCTCAAATATTCAATTTTATGTGCACCATAAAGCGAGATTACTTTGTCACGGGATGCGTGACTTTCCGACACGTTTACAGAATTTCTTTTCCATTTTAATGAGATTTATTTTACATACGGCAACCTTTCTTTCAACATGTTGAAAAAATTTATTGATATATTACACTTTACCACAATAAACTTTTCCACAATAAACACATTTTTTTCCTAGATAAATATCACGTTTTAATAATTCTTAATTTGGATGACATAATCGAAAGTTACTCTTACGCGACGTCACGCGAACTTCCATTAACCGAAGCTTACATTTCTTACATGCAAATCGACCAGCTGCAAAAATAATCGAAAACTACATTTTGTGGTCCAGTAATGTGTAATTGCGCGATACGAAGTAAACTCTGTCCTTGACACACATGCAAACTGCCGTGGTTAACGAGCAAACGGGGGATTACAAATCTCGAAACGTATAATTTTAAGCACAATCAACTTGAGAAACCTTGTAATAATATCTAACTCCATCTGCCACGTTCAAGGCGTTAGATACGCGCAGATAGATCGCGTGCGACAGTACTACTGAATGGTATATATGCTATTACAATTGAATTCTGTATGCTACTACAACGCATGTTATTATAATATTATTACTTTCATTATTAAAATTGGAGATTTTTACTTTGATAAAAAGCGAGCATTATGTTATCGCTTTTTACATTTTACGTTTATCTGAGGATTTCAGGATGAAAATTAATTTTTACTTCGATATTTCAATGTCCAAATTTTTTTTTTTTTTTTGAGGGTGCGATGTGAAAACATTTCGCGAGAAATGGGTTAAATAAAAAAAAATTCATTCCCCAACGGTACCTTCCGTGCGTGCGCGAAATTTGCTTTGATGTTGTCCACTTTCGAACTGTAACTATTCTGTTTTTTTTTCAGCGACGTTTCCGCCGTTCTCGTTTTTATGAACAGTCGTCGCTTTTTTCATATCTCTTGTAACCGCGGCAGTGATGTATGAATAATATAAGAGTAGCAAGAAACATTTTAATGTAAGTGAGTAAAAATATTGTCGTCGTGTCATCAAACATGAATCTTTAATCAATGTTACTATCCAAATACTGCGTTCCCGATAGATTTTCATATTATTTTCTTCTTTTTTGCAATTTCGATGACATTTCGCAAAGGTCAAAGCTTGTGAAATTCTGCAATTCCGCGGAGTTCAGAGAATGCACAGCAGAGAGTACAGAAAAATAACAATATAAATACTTTGCTCATTAATTCTTTGCATTTGAATGTTGTTTCTCAATGCAGAGAAAGTAGAGAAAAATGTACTATTAGTATGTGTACAATTCATTTGGCATCTCATTATAAGAGATACATACGAGCCTGCTTGTTGACAAATCTTTCTTAATGGCAAACTTGCGAAATTTCTGGTTCAAATCGCAGTTTGTTAGTGCGAAGTATAATTCGCATAGCTTCGCGTATTTTCGCACACAGTTCACGACTTCCTGATTGAGGAGGAAGCCTGCTTTCTTTTCATCGCGTTATAAATCTTCGTTCTTTTCTTCTGAACCGAGTATTCTCTTACAGTTAGCTTGCCCTTTTCATAATCCAACGTACTCCCGTCCAAACTCATCTGTCTCCACAGACTGCAAATATTCTCGCGATTATTGAGGCTAACTAAAAGCAGCTCCACTTTGATCGATTCGCTCCTTTTATGACATGAGACGGGCAAGCTTCATCTCTCGTTGCTTAAACGAGAAATAAGGAGATCATTTGTATGGAATATTAATTAAACCTTGAATATGTCCCCTCCCTCCCTCCCTTTCACTTCCTCCCTCCCTTCCTGCCTCCCTTTGTTTCCTTTGCTATATTTAAAAAACTACACAAAGTTTTAATTGTCCTCGCGCGCGAAAGATGCAAATGCGTTGGCTAACTATAATCGCCTTCTACTAACTATAAAGCGAAAACACGCTTAACGCGGATTACATCAATATCAAAGCGAAGCTTATGCCGAATTTCAAATATAGTGGTACGTTGCCGAGATGTGTAATTAGAGTGATTCTCGGTTACGAGATTATTAATTAAATTTGCCAATATCAGTATTAATGCTTTTAAAACAATTCATTTGCATTATATCAGATCCAAAATACGATATAGCTTTATGTATGGAATTATAATTTGCTAAAACGAAACGAGACATATATTGTATTTCAAGGCAATTTAATTTGCCGGTAACTTGATCAACCATGCACAAATTTCGCATTATTTCAATTATTACCTTCCAATTTTAACAAACAATAATATTAATTATTGAAATATGCTATGAAATACAAGCACCTTAAATTCGATTTACTGGAGAAATAAAAGCTTTTTTAGTTTTCATAACACATGTTTTCTAACACATTTACAGTATTTTTCTGTAACGTGTCAAAGAAGGAAGAGAAGAAAGACCGTAACAATACCACAGCAGGTATTGCAAGCTCACAATCGACACTGTCGTACGTTATCAGGATACCCTAATAATTCTTTGTGGAGAGATTTTCTCTGTATCTCTGAAAATATCGACTTGGTTGTGATCTCAATCTCCGTTTTCTTTGCGCATGTGTCGATTCCTCTGAGAGTTGTAGACACAGATTCATCGTTTTTTAATTCATAAAAACGTAAAGATTCATTTGTTAACTAATCTTAATATTAATTAACAATAAGAATTACTCTCTAAATTTTCTGAAATGAATTTTCACTTCTTTGAAGTGAATCTCACTCCAAATGATTGAAAATACTGCCACTCGAATAGCCGAGTGATAG